TATATGTTTGAACAGATTTCTACTAGAAAATTGGAAAACATTGATTGTAAAATATTGACTTATTAATCTATACTAATTGATTCTACTAATCTTTTTTATTTAAGAAAAACTAGGTATTTTCTGTTTTGCCTGCACAATCTCTCATCTTTCTTTCTACTTTCTGTTGGGAAGGTCTTTTTTGACTAGAGATGCCATATTTTATTCTCTTCGACATTTTTTTTTTAAGTCAGCTTATTTCTGAAACCTTTACTTTTGTAACAACTCGTTTTCCCACTTTAATCCCTAGCACATCAGTTACATATAACTCTATTCTTCTTTGGTATTCATTTCTTACTGTTATCAAGTATCTCTATTTTGAGATATTCATAACTTTTACAAACAATATTTATTGTACTCACTAGGTGTCAGGACTGGGAATAGAGTGGTAAATCAGACACAGATCCTTGCTTCAAGTTCACAGAACAGGTAGATTGGCTCCAACTTTCTTCCTGTTGGTAGTTGTTCTAAGGTCTTATGAATCTTATCTGTCTTTATGTAATGTCTGTTGTCTTACATCTTTTGAAATTTCATATGCCTCTTGACTAGGTCTTATGTTAGGAAACTATATCTTTCTTCTCCCTAGCAATTACTTGTTTTTGAACCTTTTTTTTTTTTTTTTAACTTCTTTTTGGGTTATACGTCTCATTAATCATTGACCTCTCCTTAGTTGTTTTTGCTTATTCTCCAGGCTTGTAATTGTGAGAATTACTTGCTTTCAATTTACCTTCTGGAGCTGCTTTATTTACCTTCTACATCTGACTCTGATACTCCCTAGAAAACACTCCTCTTAGCTGGCTTCTGTTGTCTGCAACTTTCAATAATAATTGATCATTTTCCTTGATTTCTTTTGTCCTTTCTACAAATTATTCTATTGTTTTAATTTTTTCCTTGAATCCCTTTCTGGTGTGTTCAATAAGTAGTATTAAACTTTTAATGAATGCAGGGAATATGGCCTCTGTTAACCATAGTTGAGTTGGGGACCAGCTAATGATCTCCATTCAGAAACTGGATGCCAGACACTGTCAAATAGACCCAGTTATGTCCATTTTCCAGGATGATTGATCACTCATGAACCCAGAAAGCCATTCTACAAGTAGGTCTGGCATCTCTTTAGGAAAAAAACCAAGACAACAAGTGCTAAGTAGTCTTCCCTCAATTATTAGTACCTTTTATCTGGAGGGTATAGCTACTTTCCAAAGTCCAGCTACTTTCCAAAGTGCTTTCAGAATTGATGGCTCTAAATAATCTCTAAAGGAACCTCTGGGAACCCTGTGAGAGTAAATCCCTGATGTGGTCAGCTTAGACATTATTAAAAATCATTCCCAAAAATATTAATCTTTAAATCTTATATTACAAAATACTAAATTGCAAACATATGTTTTGCGTATCAAATCCTTCCAGTTTTCTAATTTCTGAAGAGGATGTACATGCTTATTGTAGAAAAGTAAAAAAAATTGTAATCACCCATAATCTCTCTAGGCAGAAATAGCTGCTATTGATAATGTTTTAGTATTTTTCTTCCAGTCGTCTTATTGTGTATTTTATTTTATTTATTTATTTTTTGAGTCAGAGTCTCACTCTGCCACCCAGGCTGGAGGGCAGCGGCATGCTACAGCCACCGCAGCCTCGACCTACTAGACTCAGGTGATCCTTCCGCTTCAGTCTTCCAAGTAACTGGAACTACAGGCACGTGCCACCATGTCTGGTTAATTTTTTTATTTATTGTAGAGATGAAGTCTTACTATGTTGTCCAGGCTGGTGTCGAACCTGTTAACTCAGGCAGTCCTCTCACCACAGCCTCCCAAAGTGCTGGGATTACAGGCTGAGCCACCGAGCCCGGCCTTATTGTGTATTTTAATATAGTTGAGGTCAAACTGTAAAGTCCATTTTTGTATCCTGTTTTTTTCCACTTAATAACCATATCATGGCTGGACATAGTGGCTCAAACCTATGATCCCAGCACTTTGGGAGGGTGAGGTGAGAGAATTGTGCCTGAATTCAGGGGTTCGAGGCCAGCCTGGGCAACTTGGCGAGACCTCTTCTCTACAATAAATCAAAAAATTAGCCTGTAGTCGTAACGAATTAGCCAGTAGTGGTAACGCGTACTTGTAGTTCCAGCTACTTGGAAGGCTGAGGCAGAAGGGTCACCTGAGCCCAGCAGGTCGAGGCTGCGGTGGCCATTGAGTGTGCCACTGCACTTCAGCCTAGGCGACAAAGTGAGACTCCGACTAAAAAAAACAAACAAACCCTTATCATATCTTAAACTGGAATGCAGCAGTTTGAAAGTCTTATCAAAAAATTGTCAACATTTAATTTTTGTATAGTGGCTTATTCATTTTATAAATCTATATTAACCACCTGATTTATACTAGACCCCATGTGCTGTATTTAGAGGAAGGTACTAAGTGAATCATATCAGGAACTCACTAGCTGGTCATTTATATCCTACTGAAACCATCTACCTTAGTGCATGAGATGACCCTTCCTTCTGTTTCTCATTGTCTAACTGGAAATTAAACACAATGACTGCTGTGAAGACATTATCAGACATCTCATGGGGCTAGTGGGAGCCATGGAACAATATGATACTTTTTGTTAGTGGCAACGTTCCTTGGAAATGTGCTGCCTAGTCCCATCTGCACAGCATCAGACTTCCTTCCTTCCTTCCTTTCTTCTTTCTTTTATTTTTTTGAGTTGGAGTCTCACTCTGTCACCCAAGCTGGAGTGCAGTAGGCACGAGCCATCATGTCCGGCTAATTTTTCTTGGTTTATTGTAGAGATGAAGTCAAGCCATGTTGTCCAGGCAGGTCTAGAACCCATGAGCTCAGGCAGTCCTCTCACCTTGGCCTCCTAAAATGCTGGGATTATAGACATGAGCCACCGCACTTGGCCTAGACTTTATTTTTGTGAAGTCAGTTTCTTGTCAGGAATAATACTTAGACTAGTTGTCTCAACCACTCTCCTGCCTGTTCTCAGTGGCATCCACAGTTTCTCTGATTGGTAATCTGTTGTGACTTTACTACTACCTTTAAACAGGGACTGCTTACTCATAACTTAATTACAACTCAAAAAAAAGAAGAGCACTTGAGATGTGGCTAATGCAGCTAAGAAACTGAATTTTTATTTTTAATTGATTTAAACTTAAATTGTGCATGCAGCTAATGGCTACCATATTGAATAGTGCAGCTCTCAATAATCCCAGTGAGTTCATTTGTTCCTCTCATGGGGTGGATAGTTTCTTTGGGTGTTTATACTGGGCCATGCTTTTCTTTTTTAAATTTAATTTAACTTAATTAAAAACAAATTTTTTTTTTTTTGAGTCAGAGCCTACCTCTGTCGCCCAGACTGGAGTACAGTGGCATGCTCACAAGCCACCACAGCCTCATCCTGCTGGGCTCAGGTGATTCTTCCGCCTCAGTCTTCCAAGTAGCTGGAACTACAGGTGCATGCTACCACACCCAGCTTATGTTTTGATTTAATGTAGATATGAGATCTCACCAAGTTGCCCAGGCTGTTCTCGAACCCCTGAGGTCAGGTAATCCTCTCGCCTCGGCCTCCCAAAGTACTGGGATTACAGGCTTGAGCCAGTTATTTTTTTATTTTTTGAGTTGGAGCCTCACTCTGTCACCCAGGCTGGAGTGCAGTGGCACGCTCAAGGCCACCACAGCCTCAACCTCTATTGGACTCAGGTGATCCCTCTGCCTCAGCCTACCAAGTAGCTGGAACTACTGACACACGCCACCATGCCGCACTAATTTTTTTTATTTATTGTAGAGGTGAGGTCTCACCAAGTTGCCCAGGCTGGTCTCAAACCCCTGGGCTCAGACAATCCTCTCACCTCTGCCTCCCAGAGAGCTGGGATTATAGGTGTGAGCCACTGCGCCCGGCCAGGCCATGCCTTGTCACTGTTGTGTCCTTCAGCAGTGTGAGTGAGGGGATCCAGAAGAACTGTTTCTAAGAGGATCTTCCTGAAGGCAGAATGCTCCCTTGGGATCATCTATCTAGAGCTTTTCTGGAGGGGCAGCTTTAGGAAGCAGTTGGGACCTTCTGGAAGATGTAGTAACAGGATAGTTATGATAAATCAGTTTCTAAATAATGAGATGTTTTTTCAAGGGAGGGGCTTATACTTAGTGAAAAATCAGGTTAGAAGTTTCTTCCCAAATACATTGCTTATTATCCTTTTTATACTCTTATGTCATAATCTTGCAATTCTGGCATCTGAAATACTGCAAAAGTACTTCTGAATGATTGCCATTGATTTTTTTTTCTCTCAATCATTACTATAATATTCCTTTTTAGCTTAGTGAATTTTCTTTGAATCTTTAGACTGTGGTTCAGTGACATGTCCTTTTTTCCCCATCAGCAGTTTCATAGAATGCAACGGATATACTAATGCATTAGGAACCTTGTTTTGTCTTTCTTTCCTTCCTTCAGTGACACTGCCTTTCTTCTTTATTGGATCTCAGGGCTGTGGTTTCTGACCCATTCATGTGTTTTCCTCTCCCTGACCTTTCTTTATCTCCTGATTCGGGACACCCTGGTCCCTGCTCTCCTCTATTTCCCCTTTCGGGTTGGCCTCCAACTCCTTTCCTCTCAGGTACTTCCTTCATGTGTTGAAGGTGTACTTTTGACTCTGGCCCATTTTTACCCTCTTCCCACAGGATCTCACTGCTCTCCTTAGGTAGGTAGGAAGGCAAGAATATAAACTTGCTGAGAAACTGTCTTTTTTCCTTTTCTTCTCTTTAAGTCCACCAAAGCATGATCTCACCTCTGAAGGTTTAGCTCTTACTAACATGTTCATAGCCCACCCTGCCTCTGAAGCCTTCTGATGAGAATCATTTTAGTTGTGTGGCAACCAAGAAGTTGCACATGCGCTGCTTTTTCACTGTGAACTGAATTTGCTGCACATTTGGGGAAACCAAATGGGGAAACTGATTGTCTTTTCTGCCTTCTGTTGACAGAATGGTACACGAAACTTCCAGGACTTTGACTGTCAGGTAAGGACTGTACAAGCACGGGATTTCTGCAGTGCTTCCCTTCCTTTTGTGGCGCTTTTGTAGAAACCAAGCATGAATCCTAATGTTCTTTTTGGCCATTGGATCAAGTTTATTTAAAATGATTTGTAGCTGGGTGTGGTGGTTCACGCCTATAATCCAAGCACTTTGAGAGGCAGAGGCGGGAGGATTACCTGAGCCTAGGGGTTGGAGATCAGCCTGGGCAACTTGGCGAGACCTCGAGACCTTGTCTCTACAAAAAATTAAAAAATTGTCTAGGCGCAGTGGTACACATCTGTAGTTTTGGCTACCTGCACTGAAGTGGAAGGGTCACCTGAGCCCATGAGGTCGAGGCTGTGGTAAGCATGAGCATGCCACTGCACTCCAGCCTGGGCAACAGAGCAAGACTCTGAATTAAAAAAATAAAAATTTTAAAAATGGTTTGCTGTCATGTTCAAAGATTGCCTGCCAGGTACCTGTTTTATGGATGTAGGTTACTGCACTGAGCTGGATCTTTGTAATTAAGGTCCTCAAACGATATTGGAAACCTCATTTGTTACAGGTGACAGATGGAGGGAGTGTTGTTACTCACTGCAGAGAAGGTAGGAGAGGAGCAGTTTGAGGGAAGGACTTCTCAACAGTAAAATCCTTTTCTACGAGAAAAAGTCAAGTTGTTAATACAAAATACTGGTTTCTCTTGGCTTTATGTTTGGAAGTGCCAAATCCAACACGACTCATTCTTACTTTCCTAAGTGATATGTTCTTCCTCGTGTGCTTTTGCATATAGCGCTATTGCCAATTAAAAAATCAATAAAATGAACTAGTGACTCCCCGCCTGCCTACTTTATCTCAAAAGAAAGGGGAGGATGGAAAAGTGCATGGAAGTGGAGGCCTTATAAGCTTGGGCAGCTTGACGCTTCCATTTTTGCGGTAGATATGGTAACAGTAATAGAAATGACATGAAGTACACTCAGGGGATACTAGTAGGAAAGCAGAGTACTGGGAAACCAACTTGCTTGCTTCCAATATTCAGCCTACATGTATACCCACAGGTAAATGGTTATTTTCACATATGCATTTTATGTTAAGTACAGTAGAATCTCTATAGCATTAACATCGAAAGGAAGAACCAATATCTGTCTCATAAGCAAACCAGTTATATCATAATAACTTTGGAGGTACCTACTAAACATACATTATCTCCAATACAGCAATATTACAAGATGGCTTTCATTATTCCCGTTTTACAGGTGAGGAAATTAAAAATTAGGTTTCATAGCTTGTCATTGAATGGTTGGGATTGAAAACCCCATTCTTCCTGAATTTGTTGCTTATCTTTCCCACTTGGACATGTCCAGAGCTGAGATGTTATAAGGAGTTGTGTTGTTCTTAAAGCTGACATTCCTTGGCAGGACATATGAGGCTCCCCTTGGAAGGGACAGGCTCATAGTATTATAGATTTCCAAATCTCAGTTCCAAACACCTCTTGGTGTAACTATTTGGTACTTTATATTTACAGCATAATCAGCCTTATGCTGTTAGAGAATTATTCACTATAGGTGATGACTACTTTACTCAAAAACAAGAAATCATATTTTTTTGTTGATAAATAGTGGCAGTCAAGTTTGGGTTTGGTTGTTTTTAATTTTGACTAACTTCAGTTATGGTTTGGATCCTAGGTTGAACCAGTTGAGCTTGATTGCTGTTAATATTTGGTATAACTTACCTAGAAGGAAATCATTTGAGAGAGGGTGACAGTAAAATTCAAGGTGAGGAACTTCAGAATTAGTATATGTATACTCCTGACTAAAAGTGTGAAAGTATTTATTTTCAGTGCACACCTCTGCCCACCAAAGAAAATGGGAATATAAAGGATTACATGTTAATGAGAGGAGTACTGCTGAATGAAACAGTGAGCCAGCAAGCTTCTTATTGTCCATTTATCTACTTCAGTGCTGCTTAGTGCTCCTCTTCTTGTGAGACTGCTCAGACATTTGGAAACTAAAGTTGGGACAGATGCTGTAGCTTCTCTGTATATATAATATTTTGCTTTAAAAAAATAAGAATGCTTTGTGTATTATCAGAAACAAATTTAGAAAAACAAAAATAAATATTGCCTATAATCTGCTACCATATTTTATTATATTTCTTTCCAGTTTTTACTTTTATATTCTGATTTTTTTTTTTTTTTTTTTGCGTTGGAGTCTCACTCTATCACCCAGACTGGAGTGCAGTGGCTGCTCCCGACCACCGCAGCCTTGACCTGCTGGGCTCCAGCAATCCTTCCGCCTCAGCCTTCCAAGTAGCCGGAATTACAGGCATGCGCTACCACGCCCAGCTGATTTTTTGATTTATTGTAGAAATGAGGTCTTGCTGCCCAGGCGGGTCTCGAACCCGCGGGCTCAGGCAGTCCACTCACCTCAGCCTCCCAAAGGCGCAGGATTACAGGCTGAGCCACCGAGCCCGGCTATATTCTGATTATTAAGAGTTCATGTTGCCGAATGTAGTGGCCCATGCCAGCAGTCCTAGCTACTCAGGAAACTGAGGTGGGAGGAGGCTGTAGTGTGCTACACCAATCAATCAGGTGTCTCTATTAAGTCAACATCAAGATAGTGACCTCCCCAAAGTGGGGGGTTACCAGGTAGACAAAGGAATTAACTGGCCAAGGTTGGAAATGGAGCAAGTCGAAACTCCAATGCCGATCAGTAGTGGGATAGTACCTGTGAATAGCCATTGTACTCCAGCCTGGGCAACATAATGAGACCCTGTTAAATAAATAAAAAGAAAGTATATATGCTCATAGTTGAATGCTTAGAAATCACAGAGATTGGCCGGGTTCAGTGACTCAGCCTGTAATCCCAGCACTTTGGGAGGCCGAGGTGAGTGGATTGCCTGAGCCTGCAGGTTCGAGACCCACCCGGGCAACTTGGCGAGACCTTGTCTCTACAATAAATCAAAAATTAGCTGGGTGTGGTAGCTCACGCCTGTAGTTCTGGCTACTTGGAAGGCTGAGCCCAGAAGGTCGAGGCTGTGGTGGCCGGGAGTGTGTCACTGCACTCTAGTCTGGGTGACAAAATGAGGCTCTAACTCAAAAAAAAGAAAAAGAAAAACTCGTAATCCTATAACCCAGGACCAACCATGTCAACATGTTTGATGTTGATACATGCATATGTTTTTTTAATTTTTATAAAAATACATTTTAAATTTACATGGTTGTCATATTAGTTGTACAGTTTTATTTCCTCTTTTCTGACTTAATATTTGAACACAGTCTCATTTCCATGTCATTTTTGAAAACTTATAAAAATACTTTATAGTCCGGATGCCGTGGCTCATACCTGCAATCCCAGCACTTTGGGAGTCTGAGTCAGGAGGATTGCTTGAGCCCAGGAGTTCAAGTTCAGCCTAGGCAATATTATGAGACCTCATCTCTACAAAAATAAAAAAAAATTAGCTTGGCAAGGTGGTATGTACCCATAGTCCCAACTACACTGGAGGCTGAAGTGGAAGGATAACCTGAGCCCAGGAGTTTGAGACCGCAGTGGCCATGAGCATGTCACTGCACATCGGTCCAAGTGACAGAGTGATACCCCGACTCAAACAATAATGAAAATAATTTTTAATGACTGCCTATTATTTATTCATATGACTGTACCAGGACTTAACTAGTCCATTCTTTTTGGAAATTTGGTTTTATAATATATTCAGTTCACCAAATATTTTTGTCTACCTTTTTTTGTCAGCCTACACTATGCTTTGAAAAAGTTTTTTTGGGCCATTGCTTTGTTAAACTCTGGTGTGACCACGGGGCTCTTTGAGATATGGCTGCCATGTTTCCTAGCTTTGACCCCTCTCTACCCTGGGGAGGTGAATCTCCTCTCTTTCACACACTGTCTCTCCAATTTACTTTCTAAATGAATTGTATTTTCCAATCTAACTTCTGTGCAATTCTTTGCATCTTTCGCTCGGTACTGAATCACAGAACCCCCATCCCCGTCCACTGTCTGACCTAACAGGAAACCTAAGCAATGTTAAAGAAAAAAGATTTTTTAAAAAAAGTTTTTTGGTGCATAATTTTGGATTATTTCCTTAACTAGATTCTTGGCATGAGTATATTGTAGACACTTGGTATATCTTGTTAAATTGCCTTCTTCTTCCATGAGAGGGATACTCAATAAATATTAATAGAGAGTGAAAATCTGCTGCTATCTGCCAGGATATATCATTCCTATAGAAGAGGTGGATAATGGATGGAGTTCATGCCCCTAGGATAATCCAGGCAAGGGCTGAGTAATTTCATGCTGACTATTTAATTGCTGTTGCTCTTTATAGGGCTGATTTATAGAACCCATCTATAGCCAGGCTCGGTGGCTCAGCCTGTAATCCCGTGCCTTTGGGAGACTGAGGTGAGTAGATTGCCTGAGCCCACGGGTTCAAGACCTGCCTAGGCAACTTGGCGAGAGCTCCTCTCTACAATAAATAAAAAAATTAGCCGAGTGTGGTAGCACGCGCCTGTAGTTTCAGCTACTTGGAAGGCTGAGGTGGAAGGATCGCCGGAGCCCCGCAGGTCGAGGCTGCGGTGGCCGGGAGCGGCCACTGCACTCCAGTCTGAGTGACAGAGTGAGACTCCAACTCAAAAAACAAAAACAAAAAAACCCATATATGAGGTTGGTTTTTAGTAAACAGCTTTAAACCTTAAATATCACTTGGTGAATGAACTTTGTTACAAAATAAGAATGTAGTGAAATAAAAATCCTGAAAGTTCTTTCAACAGATGTGTTTAGAAAGAGCTGGAATTCAACCATAGTCTGTTAGAAATTTTGAATCAGCTTCATGCTCCTCCTCTAGCCTTGAAGGCTGATCAGAAGATGGCCCCAGTCTACCTTTCAGACTCATGTCCCACTCATATCCCCACCTCGCCTCCAGGAACATTGGAATTGTTGCTGACATCCCCCAATTCTGCTTTTTGCTTTTCATTTCTCATCGATGGCCTTTGTTTAACT